AGGATACACAGAAAGGCCTCTTTGAATGACCTCAGAGATTAGCCAGGCTGATAAAATATTTTCATTCTGCATTTTGGTTAGAAAGACTTATTACAAGGCAGAACACACTCTTCTAATATGTAGCATGAATGCTAAAACAAAGCCAGCACCAAGAACAAACAACAGAACCAAAAGAACATTCCATACACACCGAGGAAGGCCAAAACCAGCATGGAAAATCTCAGCTGAGATCAAACAGGATTTTCTGTACGCATAGGCACATGTATTATTCTAATGAACAAAAGAAACAGCTAGTGTTCAAACAGTATATGGCTCCCTCTTAGAACTCAGCACAGTCTCAAAGGATGGGCTGTCTAATTAAAGCCTTATTCAGGCATTATTCAGGCATCATTGGCGAAGAGGAAGTCCAGCATGCATTGCTGGACTTTGGTCTTCGCTCTCAGTCTAGAGAGATTAAAGAGCTTTCCATCTGATCTAGTCCAGAGATAGACACCTTCTGTTGCAGTTCCAAAGGCACGCTTCAGCATGACAGCAAAAAAGATCTCAAAAAGGGTTGGTGCAAGGACACAGCCTTGTTTCACTCCGCTTCGGATGTCAAAGGGGTCTGATGTTGAGCCATCAGAAACTACAGTGCCCTTCATACCCTCATGAAAGGACCTGATGATGTTAATGAGTTGAGGTGGACATCCAATCTTGGGAAGTATTTTATAAAGGCCATCCCTGCTAACCGAATCAGAGGCCAAAATCCTGTTCCTTAGTGTAGCAAATTGTACTACAGTAAGCTCATTGAATCAATAGGAATTTGGCAAGTCAGCTGCTTCACTAATTTCCAGTGATACAATCTGGAATACTCTAACTGTGACTTACTTTAGTATATATTGAATCAATGGAACTAAAAGCAGTTGACTTACCAAATCTCCACTGATTCAATGGACCCACTCTCTTAGTATAGTGATTTACTACACTAAGCAGCAGGATTTTGGCCAATATATCAACTTGGATTTAAGTGCTTTACCACTGTCCTACCAATGAAAAGCAATCCTTGCCCCTTCATTCCTTGACCTAGCAAATAAGCAACTGCAGTCATATGTCCCAAAGCAAGAGAAAGGGCATCTGAACACAGAATGGAACTGCAGATACTCAAGAGCATAACCAACATATACCTTTCAGCTGTTCAACTGGTAACTAAACTGTGGAATAATTAAATACTTTGGATAAACTTATATTTAGATTCAAATTTGCATTCAAATATGATTATGGACACTCCCAAGACAATATACAGTTTACAGCATTAGGTGATTTGGACTTAAGACTGAGCCATAACTTCTCATTGTGTTAATGTATCTGGGTAATTTCCCGGGCAAGCAAATCCCCCAGGTTTTGACTTTTTCAATAAAGCAGTAAACCATGTTTTCTTCTCAGATAAACAAAAGATGGTGAGAATCACCTGCTGAGAAGGTGAAAGGGATGAGAGAACATTTGATTCCAAAATTGCAGTATATAATACCCAATCATAACATCTCACAAGACCTGAAATGCCCCTATATATTTTAGAGAGAAAGAAAAACAGTAAATACCTATTCCAAATTTGAGTTTTTCAGGATGTGCAAAAAGGAGTGTTAGGAAAGGATAGGAAGCGTCTGCAGTTCCAATTCCACTGGGTTGCAAGAAACAGCAATTGTACCAGAATCTCAAATTATATCTGGAAAACAGAGTTGCTCTACGTTCTCTTCCAGTCCTGCATCTAAATAAAGGCCACACACTGGCTACTGGTAAAGTTTATCTATTAGTTAACTAAAAATAGCTGGTTCTGTTGTACCATCTGTAATTCAGGAAAGCGCATACAATCCTGGTTTATAACTGGCCTTTGTGTTTGGCTTAATGAGAATTACTGATACTCAGCACATTTCAGAATTTGTCCTTTGTCAAAAGTCTGGTGTTATCTTTCTGCTTTTGATGTGGTGGTGCTCTCATAAATGATCTGACAGTACAAGCTGCTCAGGAGCTGAGATCCTAATTGAAGTTGAGTGAACCCCATTCAGACCATCACAAAGAACAATTGTGAAATTATATAAATTAAGAACAAAAAATAATATTTGTTTTAAGCATTCATTATTCACAGTCTGAATACTTGCATTGTTTTCAATTTCCACAGTGTAATTTTGCAACAATGTCAACTGCTCAATGCACAGTTTAAGATTATTTGTCATGCTCAGCTAACTGGCAACTGACATTCTGAAACACTGGAAAAGATTCTCAAGGGCACTGATACTACAAAGCCAAGTGAATCTAATGAGGTTTCTTTAGAAACTAGACACGACATGGGTATTAAAGGAAAGGTGTTCATATAGATGAAACTGCCTTAAAGCAAGAATAAGGTACAAATAGACATACTTGGAGCCTGTCAATAAATGGCCACCTCTTTTTTCTTTTCCAAGTGGAGGCTTATTACCTTGGCACAAACAAAACAGCAACCAGCAGGCTCTATAAGGCTCAACAGATCATCTTTTTCTTCTTGGAATTATACTGTCTCAGAACCTACATACAGTATTTCCAACTGAGAATGCTACTTAGCCTTTTTTTCCCCCTAGATATGGATGCTACGCATTGAACTCTCACCCACTCCCAGGATTCTGGAACTGGGTGTTCCAGCCCCGTGTATAAAAAGATGCCCTATCAAGGAATTCCAGAAGTACCAACAGCTAGAACTTCCTCTTTCTCCACAAAGTATACTTCTTCACCTGGGACTCGAGAAGGAGAAAGTGCCTACAAGCACCTACCCTCAAGCAGACCTGAAGCTTTGAAAACACATAGCTGGAATACACAAAGCCCAAAACTTTCAGATGTAAACAAAATGATATCCAGAGCATGGAGTGCTGTCCTCTGAAGATGCTGGCCACAGAGACTGGCGAAACGTTAGGAAGAACAACCTTCAGAACACGGCCAAAGAGCCTGAAAAACCCACAACAACCACAAAATGAAATTTATTCGTGCCATCCAGAAATGGATTTTGTCTAGTTTTTTAAAAGCATATTCATCTTGTTCATAAAAACAAAACAAACAAATAAAAATAAAAAAATAACAGCACCTTAAAGAGACCAACAGATTTATTTCAGTATAGACTTTCATAAATTTTGTCTTGTTCTCTGCTTGTCAGTGCCCAGGCATGTGTGGACCAACCTACATAGCATGAAGTTCCTCAAAAGTGATCAAGACAGAAGCAAGGAATTCAGTGGTGCAGGCAAAAGGAGAATCAACGTATAAACCAGGGTTATGCCATAAATCACAGTTCTACTAGAGCATCAATGAAAACTGAGAGTAGCTGGAACTCTTTCAGAAACAGCATCAAGATCAAGTTGTTAGGAGATCAAACAAGCAAGGAACTGACAAGGCCAAAGCACAAAAGAAAACACTGGTACAGACTGGGATGCTCACAAGGAGTCAAATCAGACAGAAGGTTTAATATGTGGGAATGTCAATGTTCCAGGTAAAGTAGACCATGCTCCCAGGAATCTCTTCAGCCTTCAGCTGAGCCTATTGTAGCTTAGTTGATCCATTCAAGATATGCAAATTTCTCAGCATCAGGTCTCTTCAGGAGGGCTCCCTTGCCCTGGGCACAACACTGGGCTATCTCCTGTCTGGTTCATGCCTTTATTCAGTAACCACTGCCTTGAACTGGGAAGAAGACCTGACTCTTCCTAGGTCTCCAACCCAGGGCTCCTTGCTTTTGCAAACATGACTTCTGTAAGTTTCTTTTAGATTTAAGAGTCAGCAGCAGCTATCTGTTCCTTTGTGCCATTTGGCTTCAAAGACTGAGGATTTTCATCTGAGGATTCCTCCAGGAGAGGATGACAGATGATGATTTACCTCCTCAGAGAAATGAAGAAGTGAAATATTCAGTAACAGGTTAATATACAAGTGTACATTGTGGAGGATGGGACCCAGGGAAGATGGGTACAGACAAAGGAGATGAAATTCCAAAGTGACAAGTACCTTATTGAAACAGAAAATGAATTGTGAGAGTGTAAATTAAATACAGTGGGGAGGGAAGTGAGAGCTGGACCATAAAGAAGGCCGACCACCGAAGAATTGATGCTTTTGAATTGTGGTGCTGGAGGAGACTCTTGAGAGTCCCCTGGACTGCAAAGAGAACAAACCTATCCATTTTGAAGGAAATCAAACCTGAGTGCTCACTCGAAAGACAGATCCTGAAGCTGAGGCTCCAATACTTTGGCCATCTCATGAGAAGACTCCCTGGAAAAGACCCTGATGTTGGGAAAGTGTGAAGGCAAGAGGAAAAGGGGATGACAGAGGATGAAATGGTAGGACAGTGTCACCGAAGCTACCAACATGAATTTGACCCAACTCCGGGAGGCAGTGGAAGACATGAGGGCCTGGTCCATGGGGTCACGAAGAGTCGGACATGACTTAACGACTAAACAAACAACAAATTAAATACATTCAGAATAACTAACTGACAGGCTTAGGCTCTCTTTGAAATATGAAAATACAGGGCTAGGGAAGAGTATTGTATTTGCTGAAGCAATTTTTGATTCTGTCACTAGAATTAATAACTTTGTCTATATTCAAAGTTACAAAGAAAAGCTGGTTACTAATTAATATAGGCCAAATCACTATTGCTTTCAACCTCAAAGATTTAAAACTGCAGGGTGACCCACTCATCTGCGCACTGCACATGCAGACATAGTGTATGGTCACACAAAATGGCACTTAATGGACAGTGAAAGTTACAGCCCTCAACTGTAAATGCTAGAACAGGAAAGTATATTTTGTTTTGCCTCTGAATTCCATCTGTACTGGGAATAGAGAGGAGGGAGAGGTTAAAATGTGGGGAGGGAAGAAGTCATGTTGTTTTTCAGCCCATAGTCCAATTTATATCCACTTACCCATGAGTAAGAGGCATTGAATGCAATTGTACTCATTCCTGAGTAGGCATGTATGGGATCCCAAACCTGATGGAATCTAAGTCCCTGGCTCAGCTACACTTGCTGAATATCTGCATCCCCTTCAGCTATTAATGGAATAGGAAGTCTATGAAAAGTGTTTGAAATGTGTTAAAGGAGACATGAGGGTGCCAAAAACACCTGGGGCTCCAGATTGCACAAGCCTGCTTTATATTTATTTGTCTATCTCTTTATTTAAAATATTTTACCCCACCTTTCTCCTTAAAAAGGACCTATGGTGACTAACATCAGTAAAATATAATATTTAACCTGAAACAGTATGTATAAAAATATTTTTAAAAAGAATTAAACAAATACCACACTAAAATAGTAAACAAATCAACGCTAAAACATATTCAAAACAACAAGCCACAACAGTTAAAAACCTCTCTCAGACAGGCAATCACTAAGGAAAATCCCACCTGAAGAGAAAGGTTTTCTTCTGTTTGTGGAAGGAAAGCAAAGATGGAGCCAACCCAGCTTCCTATGGGAGGGAGTTCCAGAATCTGGGAACAGCAACACAGAAGGTCCTCTCCCGTGTGCTCACCAAATGCACTTGTCAAGGTGGTGGGCCTGAGAGAAAGGCCTCCTCTGATGATACTAACATCCTGGCAGTCTCATAAAGGGAGATGAGTTTCTTGAGCTAGCTTGGATCCAAGCCATTTAGAGCTTTATAGGATAAAACCAGCACTCTGAATTGTGCCTGGAAACGGATCAGCCAGGATGGAGTTTATATGGATAAATTCCTAGAAAACCCAGCCTTCTTTTTCCTCTGAGCTAATGAAACAACATCAAAAGCACTTTTTCTGAGTAGAAAATTATCTATGTGTATGTATGTGCATGTGTGTGTGTATGTGTGCACATGCACACTTGCATATTTGACACAGATGGAGAGAGCGACACAGAGAGAGCACAGGTCAATATTTTTTATGCCCACTATGTGTCTGGCAGGATGAGCAAATTATTTGCATAACATGCAGATACAGCCACCTGGGTTTGCAAAACTAGAATATGACAATCCTAATAAGAGGAAAGGAGCAACTTGTAGTGCCTGGAAAGGATGGGAAGAAGACTTAAAAGAAAGGACAGCTGAACATGCACAGAGGCAGAGGGAGGGAATGACCTGAGAGAAAGAAATTGGTGAGGCAGGAGAGAAACAGTACTGGGTGAGGGATACAACAGGGTCCTTCCGAGGTTGGTAAATTGCTGGGGGGTGGGGGCAATGTGTAGCCTGCATAATTAAATTGTAAACCACCCAGAGAGTGCTTTAAGCACTATGGGGCAGCATATAAGCAACATACTTTGCTTTTTAAACAAAGCTGGTACAGACAGAATAAGTACCAATATGGAGAGAAAGATCAGTGGGGAAGAGGAGAATGGGCATTGCCATTGCATTGCATCCATCATGGTTCAGAGGGACATGCTGTTACATGTACTCTCTGCTTCTTAGACCTATCAAATTCTATAATAGGAAATGCCAGGTGAAATTCTATTCACCAGATAATGATCAGTCTTCTCTAAGAAATCTAGTGAAAATCATTTACCCACCTTCCTTGTTGTTCAAAATGTCAGTTCCCCAACAAAGAGAAATAATCACTACATAAATGTAACTCTGTTTAATTATCAAACACAAGACAGCTCACTTTTCTCCCTTGTTTTAGTTATACTACATTGATCTATATTAATTTCTTTCAAATAATACATTGGTTTCATTATTATGTCAAAGCAGTCTAATACATAACTTGACACTGACTGAACCTGTTGATGTTTTGAGCATACACCATACAATATGCAGAGAAAAAAGCAGTAGTCTGGTTTCAATCAATTAGCCAGAACTATCATACAGTTGACAAACCTCCAATTTCAGTAAACAGTAACCCAAATTGCTTACCTTGACATGCACCAGTGCGGATGTTGGGGATGAAACCACGGCGACAAGGCTGAGGCTGAGCAGGACACATCTCACAAGGATGGCCCCATGCACGTCCAATGGTTGCACAACAAAGTGTCTTTGTGCAAACAATGCCAGTCAACTGGCCTTGACACATCTGGTTGTTGACCTGAGTGAAACAAGGGCCTGTTCTATAATCTGGAAATTAAGAGGAAACATTTTAATGCCTAAGGAATGCCTCCACCTCCATGAATACAATCAGAATGACTACAATGTATTTGCGAAGGCTTTCACGGCCAGGATCTAATGGTTGTTGTGGGTTTTTCGGGCTCTTTGGCCGTGTTCTGAAGGTTGTTCTTCCTAATGTTTCACCAGTCTCTGTGGCCGGCATCTTCAGAG